TACAACGTATTTTTGGAATTTGTTGTTTATTGCAATGTTTATTAGATATATCATTTAAAATCACCTCCTGTGAAGAGGGGCAATCAGTATTTTTATTAAAAATATCATTATTTTTACAATCTTTTACATTATTTTAGCAATTTTATACTTCTTCATATGCAATTAATTGATTACTCAATAATTATTGTAAGCGCTGCAGGTATGAGCGTGACGCGGTTATGATCAACGCCGCGCCGCGCCGTAAGGAACATAGGCTTTTATGGCCAATACTGCTTTTATACTTTTACAGGCGTAAAGACTTCATACTAAATAAAATATTTAGAACTTTTGGAAACATTGAGATTTTTTAAGAAACTCAGAAAATAAAAATAAATTAAATTATTTTTTAACAATATTGGCCAATAACCACTGGTTATTGGCAGGAACGTTTAGTGAGGGATTTTTAATTTTTCGCCGCAAAGTTGAAATGTATTTAATATACTACCTAACGAGTAAATAGGTTTCATTCATATCTGTTACGTAATTGTATGATTGAATGAAATAGAAATTACTTCATTAGCAAATAGAAATTATTTTATACTTTTTAGTGCATTTCGAAGTCGGCGTATTTTTTTTCTTAAAATTTAGTTTGTTTTTTTTTTTTCTTCTTTCGCGTTCTTTTGTACTGTGTGTGAGTATGCCTGTGGAGAATTTGTCGCCGCCGCCCCTGTGTGGAAATTTCGGACCACTGCGCCAAAAAGGTACGAGTCATCTCCTTACCCATCTTTTTTTTTTTGTTCTTCATTTGCGCGTGGGCGAGGGCGATAGGACCCCTGGCCCCAGTGACAAGGACCCTAGAGGCCGCGAACGGTCTACGTTGATACTGTTCCATTTCACTCTTTTGCTTCTATATTTGGCATTTAGGACCAACGTCCCCTTGTTGTCCACGACCCCTAAGAAGTTATGCTCCATGCGGACGAATACTTCAGCTTTTCTTTAGTTTCTGTCTTTCTTTTGTACTTGCGCGTACCATGAGCCCCCGCGCCACGAAAGCCACCCTCGCAAGTGGCGAGTTGATCCTTTTTCCTCGACCGTTGCTTGTAACGCGTGGGGCCCACTAAAGTTTTTCTTTCTGTTCCGCTTACGTGGCCTACTTGGGGCCCGAATAAAAGCCTTTTTTCTGTTGGATACGAACTCGTGGGTCTTTTACTCATTTTTTTTCTGACCCCCTCTGATTCCCGCTCCCGACAGAGCAGCCAGAAGGGCGATTACCGCGGACGTGTGCATGGGCACTGGCGCCCTGTGAAATAAATCGGCCGTGAGTGTGAGCATCGGCACGTGGAGGGCTGTTTTCCCGGACTGCCCCCACCCTAGGGAACCCTCTTCGGCCTTTCCGCCAACGATACGTCACACAATAATTATTACATATACAATTTTCTTCTACTTTTTACGGAGAAATGATTTGAGATTTGTTTTCGAAGAGGGTGAGCCCTTTTTATACGATAATTTGTCACCTTCTTAACAATTGAACAATATCAGATGTTTATTGTTTCATCGGTAGCCAGGGAAGGTCCAGCGAACAGGTATAAATCCGCCGCGGTACCTGTCGTCGCTATACGGAACATAGATTTCTTTGGCCAATGAAACTTTCAGCCGAAGGTATAAGTTTATTTATTTATTTTATTTATTTATAAGTTTATTTGAGAAATTCATTATTAATGTCAAATAAATAAACTTATACCTTCGGCTGAAAGTTTCATTGGCCAAAGAAATCTATGTTCCGTATAGCGACGACAGGTACCGCGGCGGATTTATACCTGTTCGCTGGACCTTCCCTGGCTACCGATGAAACAATAAACATCTGATATTGTTCAATTGTTAAGAAGGTGACAAATTATCGTATAAAAAGACTTTCCGATCTACCGATGGAACAATAAACATCTGATATTGTCCAATTGTTAAAAACGATGGGACAATAAACATCTGATATTATCCAATTGTTAAAAACATGATAAATTATCGTATAAAAAGGGCTCACCCTCTTCGAAAACAAGTCTCAACTCATTTCTCCGCAAAAAGTAGGAGAAAATTGTATGTGTAATAATTATTACTAAATTGCAATAAACAAAAAATTCCAAAAACACGTATCCCCTATTTTGATTCATATTTTTCGTATACAAATCTGCAAAAAAATCGAACTGCGTTTTGGGTGAAAAATTGAAAAAAAAGTCCAATTTTTGAATATATTATGTGACGGATCGGTGGGGGAAAGCCCGAAGGGGGTTCCCTGGAGTGGAGGCAGTTAGGGAAAACGGTCCTCCACGTACCGATGCTCACACCCACGGCCGATTTATTTTACGGGGCGCCAGTGCCAATGCACACGTCCGCGGACTAATACACTCGTCCGTAGTAATCGCCCTTCCGGCTACTCTGTCGGGAGCGGGAATCAGAGGGGGTCAGAAAAAAAA